ACATGTATTCATAGTCCTAAAATCTTATAAATCGAAATATAAATCAGTAAACATTCACCTACGAGTACAGTAGTCCTATAATCTAAGCCAAAATACGTCTAAACAGAAATCTATACAAATCTTTTTCACATGAAAACCCAAAAAAAAAATCAGAGAAATCGAACTCTTACCTCATTTTCCTGAGAATTCGAAGAACTTAGAAACCAAATTGGCGAAACCAACCACAAATTTTCAGTTTTCCCTACTCGAATTTCTGAGAAATCGAAGAAGACTTTCTTTGTCTCTTTGTTTTCAGACTCGTGAGTTGAAGGAAGAAGAAGAGATGATTATTTTAGGGTTTTTTTTTTTTTTTAACAAAACACAAGAAACGATGTCGTTTCTTTTAAGATGAGAAAAAAAAAATTAAAACATAAATCTGAGTTGTTATATATGTTTTAGTGACTAAGCAACACACTCAGCACCGATAACGGAGATATTAACACCGTAAGTTCTGAGGTATAAATATGTCTAATTTAATTAGTTTGGGTACGAAAAAGTACATTATATAGAGTCTGGGTAGAAATACGCACTCTTTGACAAAGTGGGTAAATATTTTCGCACTTCTCTAAACTTAAGTGCGGGTACTAATAAGCCGAAAATCCCAAAAATGGGTCATATATGTAGCGTTCGGTTAGTTTTTGCGTGTTCAGTCATTCTCACGTCGCGCTTCCCCTTATCATAATACTTTGTATAAACATTTATATCATATAATCGCATATCATTATTTTAAACTGATTTCGAATACAATTTAGTTTTATAGAATAATTCATTTAATAAAATATTTTAGTAACCAAGATTAATTTGTTATATTATTTTTAAAATATACTCAAAAACATATTTCAAAGATCATTTTCTTGCAAATTAAAAGGAAGTAAACCCCAAGAGAAGAGAGCCTTAACCCTATCATACTAAACAAAACTATGGTTTTGTAAGAGAGGAGAGAGCCTTAACCTTAAAAGACTAAACAAAATTATGGTTTGATTCAGTTCAGCTATAACGAAAATAGATCGTATATGTAGCGTTCAGTTAATTTTGGCGTGAGCTTTCACTCACACGTAGCGCTTCCTCTTATCATATGATCGCGTATCATTATTTTAAACTGATTTCCTATACAATTTAATTATATGGAATAGTTCATTCAACAAAATTTTTTAGTAGATTTAATTATTATATTATTTTAAAATATACTGAAAAACATATTACAAAATTATTTTCTTGCAAATTAAAAAGTTAAATCTTAAGAGAGAAGAGCCTTAATCCTAAAAAACTAAAAAAAACAATGGTTCGATTTGAAACAACCCGACCCGTTTTTTTTTTTTTAAATAGCATCGAGTTAGCATTCCCATAAATACTAACTCTCAACATGCTAAATTCTCAATCAAACAACAACCAAGCATAACCAGCAGAATTTCAAAATTAAACCAAATCAATTCAATAACCATTAAATCCAATAACCAATGAACCAATTCGAATAACCAATTCAACAATCCAATTCATTGAACCAGCAACGAGCGCTTC